ATACTTTATTCACATATCAGCGCTAGTACTTTACCTGTTTTCTATATATAAAAAAGAAGATAAAAAAATCCAATGGTATGGTATGTAAAGTGACAGTGACTTTAAAAGGATAAAACCTACTTACATAACCTAGATCAAGGACCTGCTCTAGTGTATGTCACATCAATGTCCCCACCTAGGGATACACATGGACCCGGATCAGCAACCTGACCTGGATGTGAGGTAAGTATATAAAGGACTGGATATATATGTAGTATATATGAACTTAATTTATAAATGTAATATATAAAAAGCGAATTGAAATAAATAAAAAATAAATATAAACAACAGTCCTCTGATATAGAGTATATTTCCTCACTCTTCCTCACTCTTCCTCACTTGACACATTTCACCAAAGCTTTTTCAAAAGGCGATCAAAATTACTTCACCAGGGTGGAGGAACTCCTTGTTGGTGAACTGCAGCTATTGTATCAAATGGAGAGCACTTATTCTGTTATATATATATATGTAGTATATAAGTACTTTATTAATAAAACGTAATATATAAAAAGTGAATGAAATAAATAAAAAATAAATATAAAAAACAATCCTCTGATATAGAGTATATTTCCTCATTCTTCCTCACTCTTCCTCACTTGACACATTTCACCAAAGCTTTTTCAAAAGGCGATCAAAAGTACTTCACCAGGGTGGAGGAACTCCTTGTTGGTGAACTGCAGCTATTGTATCAAATATAGAGCGCTTATTCTGTTCTGCTATAGCTTATTATTTATATACATGTTTTTTATATTTATATATAGATATGTGATTTTTACCCTGATGGTTTATATAGAGAGAAGTACAATATAGAATTGTGATTGAGTTCACCTCTCACTTTTGGCTATCTACATATTTTACACACTGACTGTATTAATTTATCCACAACCTTTTTCTATACACACACACATCCGCTTTTACATGACTGCTGACCCAAATACCATACCCGTTATCCCCCAATAACGACATGACACCTGATTGTTGGGTAAGGGCAACGGCCACAGCTTTATTAAACTTTAACAGCGCCAGCATTTCCACCTCTCAGCTGTTGGGGTGACTACCCAACAGACAGATACTCCAAGTCTTTATCCAGAGTTTGTACAGCCTGCCTTCGGCCATCAGCCCTAGCAGGCTGCGACTCCCCAAATCCTTTCAGTGCATTACGTGCGCTGGCCAGGAACTCCGCCATAGCTGTGACAAAACAAGAACAGAAACAGAAACAACAACACCACAAGACAGAAACCATCACAGAAAATTGGGGAGGGCGGGCGGGAAACTGTTCCAGACCGCTCCTTCTGCTCTGGTGAGTACCCTCACTTCTGCTTTCCTTCTTATATCCCCCCATCTTGCAACTATGTATCTCTAATACTCCCGCCCCCTTACTGCAGGACAGCAGTCATGCCTCCCCTTCCTTGCAGTCCAGGGGATATCTTTTTGTTAACTTTATTTATTCATTCATTTATTCTTTTCACTATGGACACTATTATAATTACTATAGGATTAACTTCTGTTTTTAGATTATAATGTGTTTTTATTGATTCACCACTAGTGATGTCGCGAACCCGAAATTTTCGGTTCGCGAACGGCGAACGCGAACTTCCGCAAATGTTCGCGAACCGGCGAACCGCCCGAAACGCCATTGACTTCAATGGGGAGGCGAATTTTAAAACACACAGGGACTCTTTCTGGCCACAATGGATGGAAAGAAGTTGTTTCAAGGGGACTAACACCTGGACTGTGGCATGCGGGAGGATCGGCGGCGAAACTCCCATGGAAAATTACACGGATTGATACAGAGTCTGGTTTTAATCCCATAAGGGCAGAAATCACCTAACATTCTAAATCACAATCAATATAGTTGACACCTGACGCGCATGGCATGTTGACACCTTGACCTTATGGTTAATACCTGGCCTCAGAGCCCCAATTGCACCGCAGGACACAGAGCAGAATAGAGACTGGTTACCCCTACATGGGGTCACTTGGCGAGATGGTTGACACCTGTCCTAAGGATCCCTGATACACACTGACACAGAGCAGAATAGGGACTGTTCCCCCTACATCGGGTCACTTGGCAGATATGGATTGACACCTTGTTGCAAACTGCTATTTGTAACGGGCCCTTTAAATGGCAAATTGCCCTGTTTCCCTGGGTTGTGGAGAAGCCTCTTTGCCAGCCTCCTCCCGCATGACTATGGCCCCTGGGAGATTGTGAAAATGTATGCACTTTTATTTAGTGTGTATGGCCCTTTAAGACTGTCGGTGGGCATATTGGGGCTTATGGACTCTTTATGTGACTGGTGCTGGCCCTTTAAACACCTTTTTTGGGACATCAGGAAGATTGGGACACTGCCCCTTTAGGGCCGTGTCCCCAGACTTGTTGGGGACACTGCCCCTTTAAGACGGTGTCCCCTGTGTCCACAGACCTGGTGCAAACCCTTTGTGCCTGCCTGGCTAATTCCCACTTGGTTCAGTAAAAATGGGAAATTATTTCAGCCTAGAGACTAAGTCCCATTCGTGATGGGACAGTGCCTAAACTTACGTTTTTCAGCCTTATTTCGGCTGCCTGAGACTAGTCCCATTCG